TTTGTGTGAATGGGGGGGCAGTATTGGGGGCAATGTATGTGTCTGTGGCTTTTTTTTTTATAATATATATTTTTTTTTATTTAATTCAATTTTTTTTTTAATTTAATTATTTATCCAAAATATGTCCCCCCTCCCTTCTTACCTTTACTGGGGAGGGACATACTTCGATCCCTGGTGGTCCGGTGGGGGATTCATTGGTGGTCCCAGTGGTGAGAGTGAACTCTAGCCCGCGCTCCCGGGCTAGAGTTCACTCTCACGAGATTTGGAGCGTTGCCGTGGTAACCGCAGCAACGCTTCAAATCTCACGAGAGGAGGACCCGGAGGAGCTGCAGACTGAGCTCCGGGTCCTCTTTCTCACTCCCTCCCTCCCCTGCCGGCTCTCAGCACAGTGCTTGCCATGCTGGCAGGGAAGGGAGAGGGAGAGGGAGACCGGCGGATTTCTCGGGGGGGGCAATTGCCCCGTTGCCCCCCCCCCCCCTGGATCCGCCACTGATCCTGGGGAGTATAGTGATTATAGCAATCCCCAGAGTGTAGTTTCTCCAATCCCCCAAACATGAGCCGAAACTTCATGAAGGTACAAGATGATCTGTTTATTGGCACACAAAGAACCTTCTTTTATGCAGGTCCCCATGCAAGGGGACATCCCACTGGGTGGGACACAGTACAACCAATCACACAATGGTTACATCCCACACATCTCCTCCCCTTAGCCTGAGAGGTAACCCAATTATCCATACATTTTAAAACACACTTTTTACCCAACTTTCATAACTCTAAAACTATACATCACATTCACATAAAACTACATATTCACAATCAATCCATTCAAGGGAACAACATATTAAAAAATGGCCTGAATCAGACCAGGGGTTCAGAAGTTAGCACAAGTATCATTTGGGGCCTGGCTGGCAGCATGGCTATCTGGCCCAAACTGGTTTCAGAGTCTTCTATTCTGGAGATAATTGAGAAGGAATGCAATTATCTCCAAGGACAGAGGCAAAACTCCATTAGCCACATGGCAGACAAAGGACAACAAAAGACATAAAAATACATACTGTTACATTTATCACATAGAACCTACACATTTCCAATTTACCGAACACATAATAGCATATATAATATTGCAGACAGCCTGAATGCACAGTCTTAAAGGGACATTGTTCCTAAAAGTCATAATATGTCCAGGGATGGTTTTTAAAGGGCCAGCAGCAGCACCATACAAATCCAATATGCCCAAATATTGTACTTGAAGGGCCAAATAACCCAGGGCCATAGTCATGAGGCAAGAGGCTGGCAATCAGGCTCCTCCAACAGCCAGGGGAAAATCCGGTGACAAAAGGCGTTTTGTCACAATCGGTTTTGCCGACATATGATAGCCCACATGTGCATGTAATAAGGTATATGACATGACCTGTCAAACAGGTAATACAGTGCTTAATAGCAATTCTTTTACCACTATGAGGGTGTGCAAATGTGGCACGTGGCTACATGTGACACAGCCACTGCATTTGAAACAACCTGTCTTGGTGAATCCCCTGGGTTTACTGTAGCATTTAGTCGGATCGCTTTTAACCAGTACATGTCGTAAGTTTTGATTTCTTTTAAAACTGATGATAGGTGGCTTTTTGAAGACTTTTGTAGATTTTTAGCTGAACTGATTATCCCCCAATATTTGTATATAGATTTCTTCAATTCAGTCGAGCCAGTATGATATGTCAAAGGTAGATATATTTTTGCTTTTTTGTCCAATTGATGTGATAAGTCTGGCTCACGGTCCTCTTGCCAAATTCTCAGTGCTCGCTGCTTGGCCATGTTGAGTACATGGGGATGATATCCTCTTTCCATAAAGCAATAGCTCATCTCTAAAAGTTGTTCTTCCCTTTTGGTAGGGTCGTGGTTGTAACGCAGAACCCTCATATACTGTGATACAGGTAAAGAATCTTTAAATGTATAAAGATGGAAACTCGTTGCCCCCAACAAAGTATTCCGATCAGTGAGTTTACGATATAATGTAAAACCTAAATGATCATCCTGTTTAACTGAAAACAGAAAACTATAGAGAGACAGGAAAACAAGTCTATCCTCAGAGTTTAGAAGGAAGGAGGGAGAAGGGGGCGGGGATTACAGAGGTATGTAGGGCTTAACATAACTTGGACATAACCAGAGAGTATGAGACTGTCAAGTGTTATAGATTGCAGGTGAACCTCTAACATAACATTTCAGTATTAACCCCGAATGGTAAGGATCTCAATCTAGAAATAAGAGGGTACGATATATCTGAATTGAAGATAGTGAGTGCCTAATCAAGAAAAGGAGAGGTCTGCTAGTTGGAAAAGGGTGACCATCGATGATACGCTTAGCACTTCGGCCACGCCAGTCCCGAACTCGGGGCTATCTGGATCCACCCCCTTACAAATATACTACAGACCTCTAAAAATTAGGGTAGGGGTGGTGCAAAAACTCGCTAGAGTGAAGAGGGGAGAGTCTGCAAACACTGAACGAGTGAAAAAAGTAATCGGTATAAGTTAGCGACAACCTCCCCCCTGCTGCTTTGAGGCAGCCCCCCTAGACTAGAGAGATCCTAAATCAAACAAAGCTATGAAGGTACTGCATGCACGACAACCATTATCAAGGTAAGTATTAAAATCAAAGTATATGCATCGGCAGCCCATTTCTTTAAAAATGGTACATATATTACCAATTCTCCAATGCTATACAAACTTTTGAGCACAACTGTATATATATATATAGATAGATAGAGAGAAATAGGCTTCCAGGGCCACTAACAGCAGGCTAGTTATAGTGTACAGGGACGACAAAATGCCGTCCCTGTCAGAGTGCAGCTTCGGGCCGTGGCCCTATCAGGTCCTATACATGGTCTGCCCTGGATAGTGTTACTGTCGAAAGAACAATAAAACTCTGTAATATTTTCTGGCTGAAAAAAGCTAGGTGAATTGTTAGTGTAGAGAACTTATCTAAGAGGTTTTGCCTTCACGCGGCAGGGGAGCTTACACTTAAATTCCCATTGGATTGATACTAAAAAAACTCCAGTTATTAAAATTTGCATAGGGATCTCGGATAGTGTGCAAGTAACTTTTTTCTTTGGGTTTTGTTGAACGTTTTGTATGTATATATTGCATGTTAATATCATAATGAATTTTTAAAATAAAACAATATATGATATGTATGTTTTTTATTTGCTGAATCCTTGCTTTTAAAGCATGTTTGGCTATTATTTTTATGTATGTGAACATTTTTCTAAATTATTGATGCCTGAGACTCATTTTGCTTTTAAATAATTTGCGTTAATCTTTTCAAGTAAATTCTGCCTCCCGTTTTTATTTTATAATTATTTTTTTTTGTGAAGGTAACTTCTTACTCTTTGTTTATGTAATTACTTAAGTAAATGAGCTCATTTCCCAGTTATTTAAACCCCTCACAATAACAATGCTATATACCACTTCCACTTCCATGTGTAATCATTTCTAATTACTACATTTACCTCATGTGTTGCCATAACAAATCCAATACATTCATAAAATCCAATACTGTACTTCATTGACTCTTAATGATCCTGTATATTTCAACAATGACTAACCCTGTATAGTAAAATAAATAAAAAATCTGTTTTCCTGCACTATTTTCCCTAAGGAAGATCTAAACCAGGGCTAAGCAAGCTTTAGCACTCCAGATGTTGTGGACTACATCTCCCCTAATGCTTTGCCAACATTATGGTTGTAAGAGCATTATGGGAGATGTAGTCCAAAACATCTGGAGTGCTGAAGGTTGCCAAGCCCTGGTCTAAACATTACTGCATCCGAGCCACTAGTTCAAAGAAACCCTGAACTCTCATCTATCTCATCCCTTGAGCCTCTTTGTCACTCCCACTTTATAAACCCACCTTTCACATCCCATCATTTGATAATCTAGTTCTGTTCTTAAGAGATATATGCTGGTGAACCAACTTCCAGCAGCTATAAGGGTATGTTTTAGTTTAATATTCTCTAAGCCAGGGGTGCCCAAAATGTAGATCCCCAGATGTTGTAGAACTACAACTCCCCTGATGCCTTGCATGTCTTTGCATGCCTTTAGATAACAAGGCATCGTGGAAGTTGTCATCTTAAAACATCTGGGGATCAACCTTTTGGGCACCCCTGCTCTAAGTCTAAGCCATTTTTGTATGAGCTATGTACAGTGCCTTGCAAAAGTATTCACCCCCCTTGGCATTTTTCATGTTTTGTTGCCTCACAACCTGGAATTAACATGGATTGTTTGAGGATTTGCATCATTTAATTTACAGAACATGCCGAAAACTTTGAAGATGTTTTTTTTTTTTTTATTGTGAAGCAAACAACAAATAGGACAAAATAACAGAAAAAAGTCAGTGTGCATAACTATTCACCGCCCTAAAGTCAATACTTTGTAGAGCCACCTTTTGCGGAAATCACAGCTCCAAGTCGCTTTGGATAAGTCTCTATGAGCTTGCCACATCTTACCACTGGGATTTTCGCCCATTCCTCCTTGCAAGACTGCTCCAGCTCCTTCAAGTTGGATGGTTTGCACTTGTTAACAGCAATCTTTAAGTCTTTAAGTCCAATCTTTAAGTCTACAGATTTTCTATTGGATTGAGGTCTGGGCTTTGACTAGGCCATTCATACACATTTACATGTTTTCCCTTAAACCACTCAAGTGTTGCTTTAGCAGTGTGTTTGGGGTCATTGTCCTGCTGGAAAGTGAACCTCCGTCCTAGCCTCAAATCACGCACAGAGTGGTACAGGTTTTGCTCAGGAATATCCCTGTATTTAGCAACATGCATCTTTCTCTGAACTCTGACCAGTTTCCCAGTCTTGGCTGCTAAAAACATCCCCACAGCATGATGCTGCCACCACCATGTTTCACTGTGGGGATGGTGTTCTTTGGGTGATGTGATGTGTTGGGTTTGCGCCAGACATAGCATTTTCTTTGATGGCTGAAAAGTTAAATTTTAGTCCCATCAGACCAGAACAACTTCCTCCAGACATTTTGGGAGTCTCCCACATGCCTTTTCACAAACTCAAAACTTGCCATTTTGTTTTTTGATGAAAGTAATGGCTTTCTTCTGGCCACTCTGCAATAAATCCCAACTCTATGGGGCGTACGGCTTATTGTCTTCCTATGTACAGATACTCCAGTCTCTGCTGTGGAACTCTGCAGCTCCTCCAGTGTTACCTTAGGTCTCTGTGCTGCCTCTCTGATTAATGCCTTCCTTGCCCGGTCTGTGAGTTTTGGTGGGCGGCCGTCTCTTGGCAGGTTTGCTGTAGTGCCATGTTCTTTCCATTTGGTTATGATAGATTTGATGGTGCTCCTGGGAATCATCAAAGATTTGGATATTTTTTTATAACATAACCCTGACTTGTACTTCTCAACAACATTGTCCCTTACTTGTTTGGAGAGTTCCTTGGTCTTCATGGCAGTGCTTGGTTAGTGGTGCCTCTTGCTTAGGTGTTGCAGCCTCTGGGGCCTTTCAAAAAGCATGTGTATATGTAATGACTAGTGATGTCCCGAACGGTTCGCGAACGATTCGCCACGAATGGTTCGCCGCGGACTCCAGTCAGCAGACACATTCCAGCCAATCAGCAGCAGACCCTCCCTCCCAGACCCTCCCACCTCCTGGACAGCTCACTAAGAATGCAGCTTAAAAATGGATGCTGTCCAGAAGGTGGGAGGCAATATGCAGAAAATGTTTTGTCATGTGTTATGAAATTTAGCCAGGTACCATTTTGGTCTCTAGAAGGTATTTTGTAAACCATTCCTTCTGTAATTTAGGTGTAGCCTCAACAACCCAAATAATGTTTAAAGCAACAAATTACAACTCTTTTCCAAACTCTCAAATATTTGATGTAGACTTATCATTAGATATTTTTCTTGTTGTAAAATCTCATCATTGCATTTTCATCTAAAGTCCTCTCCTTGTTTCTTTAGTATCATAATTACATATCTAGTTTCCTTAATCTTCATCTTCAAGCAAGTGGCAAGTTGTTAACCCCTTAAGGACACAACTTCTGGAATAAAAGGGAATCATGACGGAATATTTCCGTCATGCGTCCTTAAGGGGTTAATTTGTTTAACCCCTTAAGGACCAAACTTCTGGAATAAAAGGGAATCATGACATGTCACACATGTCATGTGTCCTTAAGGGGTTAAACCCTCCTCCCTATTCCCCTACATTTGATTGTCGCCTGAAAGGCCTCTTGGTCTCCAATTTCCCCTTTTTTTCTCTCTTTATTTCTTCTCAGGATTTATGTCCTAGGTGCCTTTACCTTTTTTCTATCCTGGATGATGTGTACCGTAGGCTTTCATCTGCCAACACTAGCTCACGCGGTGAACTTTGCATGCATGCCCTGTGAACACTTGGGCATTCACTTTTGTTTTGCCGCCACTAATGGGTGGGAGCAGTGTGGGGGACAATAGGTCCCCCTCTTTATCACCTATGTTCCCCACCCAGTGTTATGGTCTGGGCAATGTTTTGTTGGGCAATCTTGGGACCTGCCATTCAGGTGGATGTTACTTTGACATATACCATCTACCTAGAGATTGCTGCAGACCACATACATCCCGTCACGGCAGTGGTGTTCACTGATGGCAGTGGCCTCTTTCAGCAGAATAATGCACCCTACGACACTGCAAAATTATTCAGGAATGGTTTGAGGAACATGATAAAGAGTTCAAGGTGTTGCCTTGGTCTTCAAATTCCAAAGATCTCAAGCTAATTGAACTTCCGTGGGATATGCACAGGGCCGGATTAACATAGGGGCTGATGGAGCTGCAGCTCCAGGCCCAGGCTCAGGCCCATGGAATAGGCCCATTGATTTAAAAAAAAAGCCAGTATTTGAGGCTGCCTGGCTGGTGCCAATATCGCAGTGATATTGGCATTACAAATGCTGGT